AGTATTGATTCATCAACCTAAGAACACATCAAGCATAAAAGAACGAGTTCTACGCATTGATTTCACAAAAAGCAATTCGGTTCTTCTTTTAAGCATTTTGTCGAACATATGATATGCAACTTCGGAAACCATTTTCCGATTTGATTTCCAAACGACTTTCAGTTTAAACACAGCATACAAAGTCCTGAATTATCAATATATTCCACAAATCTGCTTCGGTTTCACATGATTTTTGACCAGAAATTATTGATTAAATTCGCCGCTCTATGCCTCAGTGTAACAGAGAAAACAAAGCATTGGAAGCAGAAGGTTTACCTAATTCGTGGACAACACAAAACCTTCACGGTAGCTTACGAACGGGACCGCAACGGAACTGGGCGTCTTCCGGCACGGCAAGGAAACGATGAACAAGAATGGCTCGTACGTCCGAAGCGATGAACAGCGGTATCTCGTGTATCCGAAATGGCGATTAAGGGTGCGAATGGTACATTCCGCTCCGTAAAATCAAATTACGCGAAATAGATTTAAATTCTTACCAGAAATTGATTTGGAAGGACAAATCTGTTTAGTAAAACATGACTAATTCTGCCCCGAAATTGATTTCTAGAACAGAAATTTGTTTTGATTTGTTGATTTTTTGCACCTAAAAAGATTTAAATTTTACTCAAAGTGGGTGGCCACATGTATTATAAGCCATTCTGTAAAGTTTTGAAATTTTTGATTTTTTAAAATTTTTTTGGACACCTAAAAATATTTAAATTTCACTCAAAGTGGGTGGCCAATGCGTATTCTAAGACATTTTGTGAAGTTTTGAATTTTTTTATTTTTATTTTTTGGGCACCTCGAAAATTTAAATTTTACTCAAAGTGGGTGGCTACTGAGATATTCTAAGCCATTCTGTGAAGTTTTGAAATTTTTATTATTTTTGGGCACCTCAAAAAATTTAAATTTCACTCAAAGTGGGTGGCGCACAGTATTTTAAGCCATTTTGTGAAGTTTTGAAAATTTTATTTTTTTATTATTTTTCTTTTTTTTGGGCACCTCAAAAAATTTAAATTTCACTCAAAATAGGTGGCCACATGTATTTTAAGCCATTTTATAAAGTTTTGAAATTTTTGATTTTTTTAGGCACCTCAAAAAATTTAAATTTCACTCAAAGTGGGTGGCCACATATGTTTTAAGCTATTCTGTGAAGTTTTGAAATTTTGGATTTTATTTTATTTTTTAAAAAAAATTCACCAAATTTCACATTTTCCCGAAATCTGACTTTTTTTTTATTTTCTGGAAATTTTTATGAATTTTTCAGAATTTTTATTCCGGAATGCATTCCATGTGCACCCTAACTGGGATCGTTTTCCGGCAACGGTGAACAGATGACGGAAGAAGGGGAAGAGATTTGCCGGAATTCCTCTAGGCGAGTAGAAGAACCGAACGCTGTCTGCTCCAAGAAACCCTTCTTGGGCTGAAAGGAAATAAAGTAAAGGAAAGGCTGGGCTGGAAAGTAAAATTGAAAAAAGAATGGGCTAACGAATGAATTAGGCCCAAATGATTTATTATTTTTTCTTTTTCTTTTTTCGAAAATTTCTATCTTTATAATTTTGCCAAAGAAACGGAGGCTTGGATAGTCGACGAAAATTCGGGTGTCAACAATATTAAGTTTAATTTACGGCTCAAAAGTTGAACAAGAGAAGAATATATTCGCACGATCGAGCTTATGCATCTACATTCATTCACTAAAATGGAGAACACCGTCAAAATTAGAACAACGTTGTAATTCCCTCACCACGCAAGACTGCACCGTCTTCAACTGGGGATTTTGTGGCTAGTACCCGGCAATGCCAGACCGCGGGCACCATTCCTGAAATCCCCCTTTTGCCAAGGACGAGAGACACTACCACCTCCCCGAGAACTGTCTCCGTTCCCGCCATCCTCATCGTCTTTGTCGAAGCCATTGGCGGCTTGGCCTCACCAGGAACACCCATTTCCCCCGCTCCATTTCGCAGCAGTTCCTTGCTTCTCGGCATCGCCAAATCTAACCTCTAATTCCAAAACCCTCAAGTCCAATTAATTCCACGTACTTCCCTTCAACTTTACTCTCCAACGCCTCATTCTTCCTCTTCAGCTTGACATTCTCCCTCACGAGCGAGTCCCACCTCCGCAGCTCCTCCCTCTCTCCGCCTGGCTACCTCGCCTCGCGCTCGCTCTCGAGGCTCGCAATCCGCACCCTCAAACGCTCGTTCTCCTCCCCCAGAGCCACCAACTGGGCCCTCGGACGCTCGTTCTCGACGCCAAACGCTCGTTGCCCTCCGTCAGGGCCACCAACTTCGCGCCCAGACCATCGCTCTCCTTCCTCAGAGCTTCGGTCGTCCCAGCTTCTAGCTCCCATCTCTCCTCTACCGCCGCCGGAAACTTGTGAGAGTCCTCGAGAGGCCTGAACGAGGATCTCAATGAAGTAACGAGCTCGGGGACGGTGCTCATGTTCTACACGCTAGAGAAGGTGGTTGAGCACGTACCCGGAGAAGAGCTTGCCCTCGGAGATGAAGCGAGTCCTTTGGGTCCGTCGTCTCCAAGGGAGATGTTTTTAGACTTCACGAGCGCCCGCGCCATTTCACAAATATGCAGACTTACCCTTTGGAACGTTGTTGTCGAATTTTCAGTTATCAGTTATATTTGTAAAAATGCTTTTTGTGATTCTCGATCATCTCTCCTCGTCGCTGGCATTCTTTCCCAACGACAAATCTCAGTGAAAGCACCCAAGTCCCAAATATACTGAAAATCATAAAACTTGTTACGAAAGTGCAAGCAATTGAGTTCTAAAGTTTCAAAAAGTGCCAGTAAGTCTTAAAACTTTTCACAAAGTATAATTAAATCTTAAAACTTTCAAAAAGTACAATTAAGTCCCGAAACTTGTAAAATTGGTGTAATCAAGTCCTTCAATGAACTTTGTCCAACTTGGCAAACAAAAAATGCTAACGTGACTTTTTTTTTTTATTCTCTCTTTTATGTAGCACTGACGTGGTTAAAACGTTGTTTTGGTCAATCTGTGATTTTTAATGCGACTTTTTTTAATTTAAATTATATTAAAATAAGCAAGATTTAAAAAATACAAAAAAAAGTGAGGAAGAAGCAGGCAAGGACTTATAGCCCTTGTTGCCGCCGTCGCCCCACCATCGCAGGCAAGGGTGGGTGATTGTGGGGGAAGGGTACGCCTCCAGTGTCAGCTAGACCTGGATGAGAGCATGCGAGCCCTCGCCCGCGATTGATGAGGATCGTCGGCCCCTAGCTGATGCTTGCCAACCCTTCCCCCACCATCGCCGGCCCTTCCTGGCAGTGGTGGGGTGGCAACGAGGGCTAGCTCTCACTTGCCTCTTCTTTCTTTTTTTTTTTTCTTAAGCTTTCTCATTTGTATTTTTGAAATTTTGCTTATTTTTTTAATATAATTCAAATAAAAAATATTGGAAAATCAAATTTTGATTAAAACAACGCCATTTTAGCCTTACATTTGATGTTTTAGCCACATTATCGTCATGTAGGAGAGAGAAAATAATAAAAAAAAAGTCACGTCAGTATTTTCTGTTAATGAAGTTGGATGGAGTTAACAGAAGGACTTGATTGCACTAATTCAACAAGTTTTAGGAATTAATTGCACTTTTTGAAAGTCTTAGAACTCAATTATACTTTTGTGATAGGTTTTAGGACTTTTATTTACAATTGCTAGCTTTTCCATATGCATATCATGAACGCTACTTGAAAATGGATGAAGAAAATGAGTTAGTCCACTTTCAAACGACACTTTACAATTATGCAGCTGGAAAACTAATGGCCTCAACAAATTTAAGTTTGGAGGGTAATCCGTAAGTTTTCAAAGTTTTAGATTAATCGTGCAATAGCGCCGAAGTTCAGGTTATATGAATAACTTTTCAAAGTCAAGGGACCTCCTGGTTCGATTTTTAAATATAATCGAATTGAATCGAATCGAGTCATTTTATTTAACACAAACCTTGAAAATTGAACAAAATTTTTAACGCGACTTGGTACGATTTTTATAAACTAAAAAAGATAATAACACAAATGATTCTTGAACTTTGGTCTGATGTGCAATAGGATCTTTGAACTTTTAATTTGTTAAATGTAATCCTTGAACTTTAGTCTAACATTCAATGTGGTCCATGAACTTTAAATTTGTTCAATGTGATCCATGGACTTTTGGTACTTATTCAATATAATCCCTGAATTATATGAAAATGTTCAATGTAGTCCTTCATTTGATTTAATATTAGGGACGACATCGAACATTTTTATATAGTCCATGGATCCACTTGAACATGTACCAAAAGTTCATGGACCGCATTGAACAAATTAAAAGTTCAAATATCATATTGCACATTGAACTAAAGTTTAAGGACATGTAATTTTCCCAATAAAACCGAGCCTAATCAAACAGTCTCGATTTTTTCTTTTTTGTTTAATTAGATACCCAAACGATGACTCCTCGTGATTGGCAAATTTTTTTTATCGTTGGAACTAGATTTTGAAAAAAAACGGAAGTGTTCTTCCACGATCGTATTGTATTATTTTATTCAGCCGTCAGATCGTACCCGAGCCAACTTTGGTGCATCTTGGAGTTTGAATTTGAAAATCAACAAATATGGCTGCGCATCGTGGGGCCCTGAGCGAGATCAACGTTCGCGATCCGCCCGCTCCGATAGAAACGGTTCTAGGGAAGAACCTCCCCCCGACGCGGGTTAGCCACGTGGCAACTGGCATCCCCGGTAATATTCCCGGGGCATCTGCCCGACCCGACAGCATGTCCCGCGATATTTCTTCCCCCACCCCCGCCAACGTCTGTTATCTCGAGATCACGAGAAATTGAGGGCCGTTACAGTGGCACGAGATGTAAATAAACCCGGAACCGGAGGGCAGTTTCCTTCGAGGCAGTGCCAAAAGCGTCTTTATATCTGCGCCACCACCACCACCACCACCACCCCCACCGGTGAGGACAAAAAGGGACTGCAGCAATTATTGCCCAGTTTGTCAATTTGCCAAATCTCGCCAGATTAATTAAATCATTTCCCCCTAAATTTTAATTACATGCTTTCAGATCTGTTGAGGTGACGGATCCAATTCCCAGGTACCTTCCATCTTCGGCATTTCTGCTCATCTTTTTGTTTCTTGTGTGAATCCCACCTTGGCTTTGGCGCCTTGAGGGATTTTTGGCTGAAATGGGGAACGAGGATTTTTGTTGCCTTTTCTGTTTGATCCTGATGATGTGGGGGTTCTTTCAAATCGTGGGGTCGAAATTTTTGTCCAATTTGATGGATGCTCTCTCTGGTGGGAGATATTGAAGTGCTTTGAATCCAGCATGCACGATTGACCTGTCGGGTTTTGATGATGGGCGAAATTATTGGGTGCGGGGTGGTGGGGGAACGAAATTCAGGGAGCCAGTTCATGTGGTTATTACAGTTACAGATCGAGCCCACCATGTGTTTGAGTTTTGAAATGCTCGGTTTTCTTCCTAAATTTTTTTTTTTTAATGTATGATTGGGGGGTCTTTTAATGATGTCGGAAGGGAGAGGATGAGGACAAGAATGTGGCAAGTTGAAGATTTTTCCTGGCCAAGAAAGAAGGAAAAACAAAAAGAGAGTGGGGGGTCGAGCACTATTGGTTGTGTTGAAGATTGAATCGAAGCTTGATTGATGCCGTAAAGGACTGGCTTTCCTTAGAAAATTGCACCCTTAACGTGGCCCCAGAGCGGCTGGCTGCTTTATTTTAATCGTGGTATTGAGTCTGCTACGTGAGCAAATGGGCACATGGCTTTTTGTCTGTGCATTTAGAATAAAGATGTCCTTTGTATGGCTATTAAAATTATTGCATGGATCTGATGACCCCTTCATCCTTTTTTTTTGGTATGAAGTTGACATTTTTATGCCTTTTTTTGCTCTTCAAACACCTGATATGAATTCTGACAAAAAAAAAAAGCACCTGATATGAATTGGACCCATGTTTTGGGTCGGCCGAGTATACGTGTTTTATATTTTGGAGTTTTTTATTCGGTATGCCGTTGGACGAAGAAATACCGCAAGAGATGTGTGGAGGTTGAGCCACAAGTTATCAGTAAAGATTTAGGAAATCAACTATTCCTCCTAAATATACTTGTCATGCTCGTCAATGGTCTAAAGCTATCTGTGAAAGCTGATTTTCCTACTGGTGGTGGACTGGACGAAAATAGCAAACACTACTGTTTCTGAAAATGTTCACGTTTAGAGCCGAGTCTTAATTCGATATGCCCTTCGAGATTGTGTATCGAGAGTAATTTTTCTGAGGCCCCAAATTTTAAGTCCGTGGCTAAAAAATGTTTCGCGTGACAAAAGTGTAGAAATTGCCTAAATGATAGGCATCAAGATAGGAACTCTCTTATTTGACGCTGCCAAAGACCGGGAGCAACTGTTCCCAGCAATAGTTGCTGTAGTCCTAATTGGTTTTTTCTTAAGACTGAATTTTCAGTTAATTAATTTTCATTTCATGTCATGATTTTTGAGCTCCAAATGACTCGTGTAATTGGTTTCTTCCCAGAGTGAGCTAAAAGTCTGTAACAAGAGATGAGACGGGTTCAGCAGAATGAAGTAACGAAGTCTTCCACAAGAGAAATTGATGCAGAGAAGGTGGAACTAGTGACTAAAGCAGGTGAACTTTTATCCGAAGCATCAGTTCTCTTGGCGTTACAATTTCGAGTCTCAAGAACACTATTGGGAACAAGAGAATAATGTGTATCTAATGCTCATTTAAACAAGAGCTGACAATTTATGATGTCCGGTGACTATTGTGATTTTCTTGACATTTTCCAAATTAAGAAAGAAAGAGAAGTTTAATTTCACCTATTAACCAAACTAAGAACTCGTGTTTTTCCCTTTCGCTGGATGTTGGTTTTGAGATGTGTACCATGAGTGAACTTTCTGCTTGTCTTCATTTGACAATGTTACTATCCTTTTATTCTTGTCGATCATTTGGCTAAATCCTACTTTTAGATTCTCCTTTCCTTCCTTTTAAAGTTCCAGTGCTTGTGAGTTACCTTCTGTAACATTGCACTGAGCGTGCTAAAATCCCCTGTGAATGTCTAAACAATGGGAGCCTTTTGTCTGATTGCACTTGATAATGACTTTTCTTACAATGTCTAATAGACAAAAGCAGTTACACTCGGTTATCCTCTTGTAACTTTTAAATGATGTTGGCGAGTAATGCAATATTAAGCTAATAATCATCCACCTTTACCTTGTACGGACTTCAAAATTAGGCATATTGTTCTGTAAGGAATCGCTGATAGTTTGTTAGGATGGTAGAATGAAGGAATCACTCGATTTCGTTGTCCTGAATTGATCATGTTCGGATTCTGAGGTACTCAGAATGTTGGTAATCTGCAGATACTGAGAAAAAAGTTGCAAGAATCTTGGAGCTCATAAAGAATGAAAGCCAAAGCAGAAAACGTGGGGCAAAGAACTCAAAGAGAGATTCGGAACTTGTTGGGCTCGTTGAGGACTTCCTACGACAGTATCAGTCGCTCTATGCACAGTATGATAATCTTATGCGGGAACGAGATAAAAATGATACCAGAAGAAGCAAGAGAGACAATTCTCCGTCCACCTCCAGCTCCGACTCTGAATATTTTTCTTCTGAGGATGTCGATAACAACTCAGGAGAATCAAGGCATGATCGACTGGCGGCAAAAACTGTTCCTCAAAAGCTTGAGGATGATAACAAGGAAATGATCATCCTAAGGAATCATTTGGCATCTATCAGGAAAGAGAGAGAAACTTTGAGTACAGAGCATATGGCCGCCCTGAGCAAGATCAAGGAATCGGAGAATGTTATCAATGATCTGAGGGTAGAAGTGAGTGAGAGGAAGAGAGAACTGTCGACTCTTTCAAAGAAGCATCAAGTTCTAGAAGTTGAAGCATCGCTGAGGACAAAGGAGTTGGAGGGACAGATAGGTGGCTTGAAATCTGAATTACAGTCTCTGCGCTGCCACAAAAGTGATTTAGAAGCGGAGAATGTTATCAAAGATCTGAGGGTAGAAGTGAGCGAGAGGAAGAGAGAACTGTTGGCTCTTTCAAAGAAGCATCAAGTCCTAGAAGTTGAAGCATCGCGGAGAACAAAGGAGTTGGAGGGACAGATAGGTGGCTTGAAATCTGAATTACAGTCTCTGCGCTGCCACAGAAGTGATTTAGAAGCAGAGAATGTTATCAAAGATCTGAGGGTAGAAGTGAGCGAGAGGAAGAGAGTACTGTCGACTCTTTCAAAGAAGCATCAAGTCCTAGAAGTTGAAGCATCGCGGAGGACGAAGGAGCTGGAGGGACAGATAGGTGGCTTGAAATCTGAATTACAGTCTCTGCACTGCCACAATAGTGATTTAGAAGCAGAGATTCAAAGCCAAGCTAGTGAAGCCAAACAGCTGAAACTGGAAAATGAAGAGCTTCAAGCTCGCATTATGGAACTTGAACTCATATCTGAAAGCAAAGAAATTGAGATGTCTGATCTCCTAAAGAAACTTGACAACAACGAGAACAGTGCAAAGTCTAGATTTGCAGAGTTGGAGGAACAAGTCAGGAATCTGCAAATGGAGGCGAGATCTCTGCATGTTGAGAAATGCACGATGGAGGAAACTGTGCAACGTCTACAGAACAAACTACTTGCTAACGAAAAGGATTTAGATCAGATTAACACTCTGAATGAAGAAGTCAAGCTCCTGGAAAGCCAGATAGCTAAGTTTCAAGAAAGGGAAGCAGTAATCGAACAAAACTTGATTCGAATACGAACTCTTGAAGAAGAATTAGCAAGTACTTTTGAAGAAAAAGAAAGAGTATCCGAGGAGAACAACTGCCTTGCCGCACAGGTCAAGGACATGAAGCTAAAAATGGATGCTCTGTCTGCGAGGGAAAATGATCTGCTAGAGCAGATAAGGAACCACGTCCACGAGACCAATCAGTGTAGAGAGGAAAAGGAGGAATTGGAGGTCAGGTTTGTCGAATTGGAAAGCAAATCGATAGAAAGGGGAAACGAGCTCTCGGCTCTGCAGGAGAAACTTAAGGCCGATGGGGATGCGTACTCTTCACATATCTCGGCCTTGACAGTCCGAGCTAAGAAATTGCAAGAGGATGTCAATTCCTTGCTGGCCCTGAAGAGGCAGTTGGAGTTGCATAACGAGAAAGACAGACAAGAATCTTCGCCAAGGTTCAACGTTGTTCTGAAAGATAGCAAGTCGAGCGAGCAGGAAGTTATTACTCCTCGCAGGATGGCCAGGAAATATAGACAAGCTAGGAGTTCGTTGCAAGAACCGATGGATGCTCAGTTCCTAGAAAGGAGAATGGAAGAATTGGCAGACGAGTTTCGCATGCACTTTGAAGATAACGTGCGCCTGATGAGCCAACGTATCCTGGTCTTGGAGCAGCTACATATGGAGAACAAGGATAGCTACAAGATGATGAAAGAGAGGTTCCAGCGAGAGCACGGAGCACTCAAGGATCGGTCCTACATCTTCAAAGCTGAGATGGGGAAGATAGCGGACGCTTCGCGGACGGTGAGCAATGCACTTCACCGGTTGGACTTGATAGTCTCGAAATTCGGCGAGCAAAATGGGAACGTTTTAAGCCGCATGTCGAAAGTCTCGAAGGAGATCCAATGCCTGCGAAACAAGGTTTCAGGGACAAAAGACAAAGTAAGATGTGTGACAAGCGACGCTATCCATCAAATATCCGCAGTGGACACCAAAGCCATGAAGAATGTTGTACTTAGTGAGGAGAGCTGGGCTTTAATGGCAAAAGTAGACGATGAGGGCATGGAAAAGATGCTTATGATGAAGGCCGTTGATCGACTCGAGAAGAGGGTGGCGGAACTAGAGAACATTGCGAAGGTAAGGGAAGAAGTGTTGTTTGGGCTTGTGGATGAGAAAAAGGAGGCCATCAGGCAACTGTGTCTCTCGATCAACTATTACCGAGATCGCTGTCTTCAATACCGGGAGGTGATCTCGAAGATTGCTGCTAGCAGGAGGCGCTCGACCTGAGTTGTGATCTCATCTCAATAAGACGATTTTGATGCGGCATTGCATGCAGTGCTTATTATCTGGTTCTTCCTTTTCAGATGTGGCTTAGTGGGCATTGGCTACTTTGATCAACCATTGATTAGTCGGGCAAGCTTGCTAATCAAACGTCAACTACTTGAAAATCCTTTGGAGTGGTCCTTTTATTTTTGGTCAAATGGAGAGGAACCTTACAGGAGATTGTTTTTGTTAGCTCCAAGACACAATTTGAGGTTTCACTGGCAAAAACTTTGTTCTTCTAACAGGTACTTTATAAGCAGCTTGGCAGTACACATAACTCATTGTAAGGATTCATTTGTTTTATTGAAAATTTCCTGTCGCTGGAAAACGTTTTTAGGAAATTCAATTTTAGAGAAAGCGAACCATTTTCCAGTATGCATTCATGCTGAAAACAATGTGAAGTAACTAAGACTTATCGTGAAAAACGAAGAAAAAAATAATTGATGAGATATGGAGAGCCGAGAAGATAGAAAGTGACAAATTAAGGAAAACAATTTTCTTTTTGTCAGAATAGGAAAACGTTGTTTGTTGATCGAGTAGTTTTTTGTCATCCCAATGCTAAAATGTCTTGGCTCGGCTTGCCTGGGCCTGTTCAACCAGATTGAAGCATGAGCAGACTTGTGTAAGGACATTTAAGCATGGGCAGCCCCTGGACCCCTGCCCGTTCATCGGAGAACGGCACCCCCATATATTTAATAAAAGCACTTCAAATCAATGATAAACTTACAATTATTAAACCCATCGCTTCATCTAATAACACGATTCTATATGAATTAATATATGTAGACAAATAAATGATACACATTTAACATGTCTACATAAAATATAGTTACATATTTTATAAGCTACCACATTTTCACATGATAACACATATACAAAACAAGCAAAGGTGTGTTTTTTTGGGGGCAGCTTTAGTTCCAACCCTTTGGACTAAATCCATCCAATTTCTACCAAATAAACAAAATCGCCATTAGTCATTCAATTGCAATTGAAATTGGTAATCCCAACTTTATTTATTTTCCTTTTTAATTCCTTTTTATTTGTAGGTAGGATTTACTTATAAAAAATACAAAGTTCCCATGTATATTAAAAGGCATCATCTCTTTTTTTTTTTTAATTTACTTCCCCAAAAATTAGTTTTGTTGGAAAGAGAAATTTTCAGGAAAACGTACCTCTTCTTAACCTGGCCGACCAAATTCATGGATAAAATGTCAAGTAGAATCTAGAAAAAATAAGAACTAAACAAATTATTTTTTTGGGGGGGACCTTTTCTGCGTGCCAATATAACCAAATCCTCAACCCCGTAGCACCCCCGCACCAATCCCAAACGGCCACGTCAGACGCCGCGGGCAACAAAAGGAAAAAAGCGCGGGAACCTGCACATCGCACGTGGCGCGCCCCTCCATCAGTGGCTAATCATTTTTATCACGAGACGCGAGATAAAACGGGGGGCCAGAGGGCCAATATCTCGCGAGACCGACCCTCTCCCGCGCACGAGGGAGTCAAATTAGGGATGATCGGTTCCCGGTCCGGTCCGGTCCGGTTCCAAGGTGGAACTGGGAACCGGACCGAGAGAACCGATTCCCAATTTTGGGAACCGCGGACCGGACCGTTGGTACATGGGCCGAACCGGACGACCGCCCGGGTTCGGTCGATTCCGGTCCGATCCAATAAAACCGGTCACTTAGAGTTTAGTTTTTTTTTTTTTTTTGGTTAAACACTTAAGTTTTGGTTCACATTTTACTAATTTTTGTCAATGAAGTTCACTTAGGGTTTAATTCATATTTTACTAATTTTTATCAATGAATTTATGATAATGAAGTTCACTTAGAGTTTAGTTCACATTTTATTAATTTTTTTAAAGAAAAAAATAACAAAAATATATATTAAATAGTCGGTCCGGTTCCCCCTTGGAACCGGGAACCGGACCGCCCGGAAACTGGTTCCGCTTTTAGGAACGGGGAACTGGACCGATAGTCCCGAGAATTGGATCAAACCCGTCGGTCCGGTCCCGGTTTGGGCGATCCCAGTTTGGGCGGTCCAAGTTGCTCACCCCAAAGTCAAACAACGGTCGGGGGGCGGCCGTGCCTGCCAGCGAGCGGCCAGCTCGCTCGGCACGCGCCAGGGTGTCCCGTCCCGCGTGGAGGTCGGTGGCACAACCGCAATTAACTGCGGAATCGGGGGGTCGAAGTGGCGCCGAGAAAGCTCCCAAAGATTCCGTCCTCCTCCGGCCCCCCGATCCCCCCCCCCCCCAAAACATTTAGTTTTTTTCTGACGCCCCGTGGGACACGGTAGCGGTCGCTCTCTCGCTCTGTCTCGCTCTCTCTCTCTCTCTCTGTGTGCGAAAGCGCTCCCCAGCCCGAGCACCAACAAAAACTGCTCTATCCCTCGTTCCTTCCTCCTCTTTTGTAAATTCATCGCGGCCTTTCCCACCTCCATCTCCATCTCCATCTCTCGGCTCTGCGCGGCGCGTGATCGGAGGAGAAGCTCGCCGTCGAAGCGCGTCTCGGAGGATATCCAGCTCCTCGACGTCGGAGATTCAGGTAATCCTTGCTCTGAGCTGATCAGCGCTCGCTCGCTCTCTCTCTCTCTGTCTCTCTCTCGAAAGTTTTGTCGCCTGGAGCTTCGGTGTCTGGAGTTTCTGACTCCGGGGAGCTGAGCGTTCATCGTCGTCCGGAGTCGATGTCCGTTCTGATCAATCTTCCGAATTCCGTCTCCGTCTCGGATTGGTCGGGGCGAGCTCCCGCCTCGAGCGGCCGGGGGATTCTGCCGCCGTCGCGAGGCCCTGGATGTTGCGCAACCGTGATTGAGTTCGGAGTTTTTTTTTGAGTGAGACCGTTACGGAGTTGTTGTTGCTTTTATTTTCCGTTTTGGCGATCCTCTCGCTGTCTCGGTTTTTTGAGGGGACTAGGATTTGATTGTTGGATGTAGTTAGGTAGACTGACTACTGTCTGAAGCTCTGGTGAATTGGCGGTGTTGATGATTTGTCTTCGGATTCGCTGCTCAAGCCTCTTTGTTGAATCCGCAGGCCTTGCTTTCGACGGACTAGTTCGGCGTCCGCAATCTGCGCGAATCGAATCGGTTGAGGCTGCTCGAGGAAGGCTGACGAGATTGAAGGAGATCGAGTCAGGTTGGTGCTCTTCCTCTGTTCTTAAGCTCCAGATTTCGATTTGCATCGACCGAAGTGCTCGCAAAGAAAAAAAAAAAAAAAAAAACAAAACTTGGATATGCGAGTAGTAAATAGTGTCTTCACCTTTGCGTGGACATCAATTAAAAAAGCAGCGGGTCGTTTTTCCGTAAATGAGGTTGGAATTCAAAATCAAGCCTCCTGGTGATGCTGCTGAATTGGCACCAGAATAGGATCGTACTATTTAGCAGTAGCAACTTCCGAGAAATGAATATTGATTGGTTTTGGAGCTGTGGTCCCCCCTCATGGCACCAGAATAGGATGGTGCCGTAGCAGTAGCAACTTTGGAGAAACAAACATTGATTATTTTTTGAATTTGTGGTCCTCTCGTCCCTTTGAAAGTAGTGAAGCTGCAACCAATCAATGTTCTCGATCGGTTCATGTTCTTGAGGCTTGCCCAGAAACTGTGTTTCACTTGGTCGATGTAAATTAGAACGCAAACCAGGGACATTGGGTTTAAGTTTCTTCGTGATGTTAATCATTTCCCATTAACTGTTGTATCTTATTAAAGGCCAACTTTTCCTTTTGGAAAATCATGAACTTGACATTCATTTGTCTTTATGTTTGCTCTGTTCGATAAGTATCTTCTTGAAAAATGAAGAAACAAGTGACCGAGTGAAGCGGATTATCATAGACAATTCTGATAATTGTCTCTATTGCCGTTTCAGGAGGATAATATAGCATCCTGTGCTTTCGATTAGATTTTTTTTATGTAATTCCGGAGGTTGATTGCGGAACATACCATTCAAATATAAAAAGGATTTATTCAAATCCAAATTCAGAGGAATAGTTCTTTTGCACATATATTCTGCACATGAAGTGTAATAGAAAGCCAAAAATATCAAATCCATTTTAACCAGAGGAAGTACCAAGATTCTGTTAAGACACCAGAGCATCTCAGATTGCCCAACTAAATGTAAACGTCACGTAAACATGAAAGTAACTGGTTTAGTTTAGATTAGTTAAGGTTCCAGTGAATGTCTCTAGGATAGTAAAAATAATCTGGACATATATTTTAAAAGTCATCTGAATTATAAGATGATCTTGGACAGTTCTTCCTGATGGAGCGTGTATTCGTTCTTTATTGTTATTGTATACGGAAACTATCAAAAGAAGTTGAAAGCTAATATGATGTCATTTGAAATGCCTGTATAGTCGATGAACCCCTACTGCATACCACTATTTTGAGTATAAAGTCCGATTGGTTTTAATTTTGGCATTACAGTCATATCTATCTTTACAAATGGGACACTAATGAATCTGAATAAATTGGGGAAATGGGCTTTCCCTATGAAGTGCTTTATATACCTTTCTCTGCCAAATATATTTAGAATTATCTGAGAGCATCTCATTCATAATTTGGATGAAACTTGATGAATTTCTCTTATGATTTCCAGTCGTTGTGGACAAGATGGTATGCGGCAATGCACCCTTGTAATTAAAGGTTAATCTTCCGAAGGAGACATGACTAAACATCGATTCAGAGATTCGATAAAGTCCTTATTCGGGAGTCATATTGATCCGGAGGAGGGGGAACAGCTGAAAGGAACTAAATCAGGTAATTCCTAGTCAGCAAGAATGGTTCTTCATCAGTAGCATGAACGCTCATGAAAAAAAAAAAATTGGGATCATAACCAGGATCTCCATAATATCTTGAAGTTATTGATCGTGTCATGCTAATTCATCCCGTTTTTGGTAAATTGGAATAATTGGATTGAGAAACTGCTGGTTAACTGCAGAAATTGAGGCCAAAGTGAATAGGATCTTGAAGCTTATCAGAGATGAACATCCTGAAGAAGACAACCAGGATCCAGCTGGGGACTCTAAAAGAAGATCGCTTGAAGAGTTAGTGAGCGAATTCCACAGAAAATATCAGTCCCTGTATGAACGATATGATTCTCTCACAGCAGAGCTCAGGAAAAAGGTTAGTAGCAAACGAAGTAACGATGGACCTTATTCATCAAGCTCTGATTCAGACTCAGACTCAGATCACTCCTCAAAGAAAGGCAGTAAAAATGGGCAATTAGAAAATGATTGGGAAAAAATCACAGCTGACATGAAGCAAGAACTTGAAACAGCAAATCTAGAAGTTGCTGACTTGAAGAGGAAGTTAACAAGCATGACAGAAGAGAGAGAAAGTCTGCAGTCTGAGTGCCAAGTAGCTTTGAGCAAGGTACAAGAAGCAGAAAACAGTATCCAGGAGTTGAACATCAAAGCTGAAAGGTTAGAGGAGGAAAGATCCAAGCATTTTGCTGACAACCAGAAACTGACTGAAAAACTGGAAATGCTTGGTAAGCTTGAAGTAGAACAAAAACAAAGACTGGAGGACACGACAGTTGAGAAAGAGACCTTGATCACAGAGAGAGAGGCTGCTCTGAAAAAGATTGAAGAGGGAGAAAAAAATACCACTGACTTGAGAAACTCAATTGATCAGATTAAAGATGAACGGGCAGCTCTGGAGCTGGAACTAGAATCTATGAAAGGTCATGTTTCAGGTATGAAAGAGCATCAGGAATCAGCGGAACAGAAAATTGCAGAGTTAAGCCACTCCCTAGAAGTCACCTTGGAAGAAAACAAGTCTCTAGCTTCTAAAGTGTCGGAACTTTCACATGACATTGAGAATGCACAGAAAAAGATTCAAGATGTCATTGGTGAATCAGGAGAAATGAGGAAAACTTTGGATGAAAAAGAAAGGGAACTTTTGGCTCTGACAGAAGTGCATCAAGTCCATCAGAACGATGCATCAGCTCAGATGGAAGGCCTAAAAGCACAGATAGCAAATCTCGAATTGGAACTTGAAACTGTGCAAACTGAGAAAAGGGACATAGAAGAGCTGATAGAAACAAAAACAGTCGAAGCAAAGCAATTGGCTGAGGAAAACATGCAACTGAGAGCCCAAGCTGCAGAATTTGAAGAAATGTTGAAAGCCAGAGAAGATGAAATGTCGGCTCTCAAGAAGAAGCTTGAGGATAGTGAAAAGGAGTCTCTCTCTAGGACAGAGGATTTGACCACGCAGATGAAGACCTTGCTTCACGATCTGGAATCTTTACAAGCTCAAAAAGCTGAAATGGAGGAACAGATTGTTTCGAAAACCGATGAAGCATCCACCCAACTCTCCGGGCTATTGGGTCAGGTCAACACATTGCAGCAAGAACTGGGATCTCTAGGAAACCAGAAAGCTGAACTGGAGCTGCAACTTGAGAAAAAATCTCAAGAGCTTTCAGAAAATATGGTTCAGACAGAAAGATTGAAGGAGGATTTGACAAGAAAAACTATTGACCGAGAAAAGATTATGGAGGAGAAGGAGGGTTTAGCATGTCGGGTGAAGGACCTGGACCTGGAGACAGCTACGATACGCACCCAGAAGGATGAAATGGAAGAACGAATAAGAACTATAGAGAAGGAGAACGACCTGCTTCGAGAGGAAAAGGCAGAGTTGCAGAGAAATGTTCTCGAGTTTCAGGAGACTCTCGATTCTCTTCAAGGCCACAAAAGTGAATTAGAATTGCAGCTTGAAACCAAGACTCGAGATTTTTCGGATTTCTCTACTCAAATGGAGGGCTTGAAACAGCAGCTAGCAAGTGATAGAGATCATCATCAGAAGACAACGGAAGAGAAAGACAGCATGACAGCCCGGATACAGGACCTCATGCTGGAGGTGGATTCTCTAATCAACCACAGAGTTCAACTGGAAGAGCAGATAAAAAGCAAAAGCATTGAGAGTGATCAGTTGCAAGAGGAAAAGAGAAGACTACAAGATAGAGTTCTTGAATTGGAGAGGAAGCTATCAGAGAAAGAGGATGAATTTTCTGCTCTACGTGAAAAACTTGAACTAGGAGAAACTGAAGCTTCGGCTAAAATGATGGCTTTGGAGACACAGATTAACAATCTGAGAGAGGATTTGGATCTGTTGCAGAGTCAGAAAACTCAATTGGAACTACAACTTGAAAAGGAGAGACAAGAATCTTCAGAAAGCGTGATGCAAATGGAGAATCAGAAAAGCGAAGTAGCCAAGCAGAGTGAAGATCTGCGGAGATTGCTTAAAGAGAAGGAGGATGCGCACAAAATGTCGAGTGCGGACCTCATGCTTGAGGTGGATTCTCTAATCAACCACAGAAGTCAACTGGAAGAGCAGATAAGAAGCAAAAGTGTCGAGAGTGATCGGTTGCAAGAGGAAAAGAGAAGACTACAGGATAGAGTTCTTGAATTGGAGAGGAAGCTATCAGAGAAAGAGGATGAATTTTCTGCTCTACGTGAAAAACTTGAACAAGGAGAAACTGAAGCTTCGGCTAAAATGATGGCTTTGGAGACACAGATTAACAATCTGAGAGAGGATTTGGATCTCTCGCAGAGTCAGAAAACTCAATTGGAACTACAACTCGAAAAGGAGAGACAAGAATCTTCAGAAAGCATGATGCAAATGGAGAATCAGAAAAGTCAAGTAGCCAAGCAGAGTGAAGATCTACGGAGATTGCTTCAAGAGAAGGAGGATGCGCACAAAACGTCGAGTGCGGACCTCATGCTTAAGGTGGATTCTCTAATCAACCACAGAAGTGAACTAGAAGAGCAGATAAGAAGCAAAAGTGTCGAGAGTGATCGGTTGCAAGAGGAAAAGAGAAGACTACAGGATAGAGTTCTTGAATTGGAGAGGAAGCTATCAGAGAAAGAGGATGAATTTTCTGCTCTATGTGAAAAACTAGAACAAGGAGAAACTGAAGCTTTGGCTAAAATGATGGCTTTGGAGACACAGATTAACAATCTGAGAGAGGATTTGGATCTCTCGCAGAATCAGAAAACTCAATTGGAACTACAACTTGAAAAGGAGAGACAAGAATCTTCAGAAAGCATGATGCAAATGGAGAATCAGAAAAGTGAAGTAGCCAAGCAGAGTGAAGATCTACGGAGATTGCTTAAAGAGAAGGAGGATGTGCACAAAACGTCGAGTGCGGACCTCATGCTTGAGGTGGATTCTCTAATCAACCACAGAAGTCAACTGGAAGAGCAGATAAGAAGCAAAAGTGTTGAGAGTGATCGGTTGCAAGAGGAAAAGAGAAGACTACAGGATAGAGTTCTTGAATTGGAGAGGAAGCTATCAGAGAAAGAGGATGAATTTTCTGCTCTACGTGAAAAACTTGAACAAGGAGAAACTGAAGCTTTGGCTAAAATGATGGCTTTGGAGACACAGATTAACAATCTGAGAGAGGATTTGGATCTCTCGCAGAGTCAGAAAACTCAATTGGAACTACAACTCGAAAAGGAGAGACAAGAATCTTCAGAAAGCATGATGCAAATGGAGAATCAGAAAAGTGAAGTAGCTAATCAGAGTGAAGATCTACGGAAATTGCTTAAAGAGAAGGAGGATGCGCACAAAACGTTGAGTGAGGAACATACACTAGTTGGAAGCTTCTTTCAGAAGTGCAAGGAAAACCTCGAGCGGGCAGAAAGTAGGATGAAAGAAATGGAAGCTGAGTTCCGCTCAAAATTCCATTTGAGGGACCAGACAGTGGCTGATTTGGAAGAAATGGTTGAAGATTTGAGAAGAGATCAAGATTTAAAAGAAGAAGAAATCAGTTCCTTAACTGAGAATGTACGAAATATCGAGGTTAAGCTCCGTCTCTCGAACCAGAAGCTTCGGGTCACAGAGCAATTGCTGACTGAGAAGGAAGAGAGCTTCAGGAAAGCTGAAGCAAAATTCCAACTAGAACAGAGAGCTCTTGAAGAAAGGATCGCGTCCTTGTGTGAAACAATTGCCTCAAACAAAGAAGCCTATCAGAAAATGATTACAAAAGTCTCCGAAGTAGTAAACGGCAGCTTCGTTGCATGGGAAGCTGTTGTCCAGAAATTCGACACAGAATTTAACAACTACGGAAACTGCATTTTGGAAGTCTACAATGACTTGAACACTGTGAAGAGCTGGGTAAGAGATGCAAATAACGCGAAACGCCGGCTAGGGAAGGAAGTTTGTGAATTAGCGGAGCAGCTGAAGGTTAAGAAAGAAGAGGAGTTGTTCTTGAAACATCAGGTTGAGAAGGTCAAGGCACATGCCAGCGAGGAAGAAGCTGAAAAGGGGAAACTGACTATAGCTCTAAACAGGATCGAGAAGAAGGCTGAGGAACTCGAGACGACATTGAAGGACAAGGACGAGGCGATCTTCGGTCTCGGGGAAGAGAAGAGGGAGGCAATCAGGCAACTCTGCATCTGGATCGATTATCATCGCGGCCTCAATGATGATCTCAAGGAAATGCTAGCCAAGACGAGACCAGCCAGAGGCCAGAGGGCAGGCTCTTAAAACTTTTATTCATTTCTATCTGCAGATTCGTTCCGGTGTCTCAAACATTTTTTTTTCTTGATTGTTGATTCCTTTTAGGCAAAGTGTGCTTGTAGATAGATTTTTTGGGTGATGGTTGTTTGGACATTTTATAGTCAGGATGTTGTATAAAACTCTTGGTTGATGCCCTTTTTACCGGTCATCAATTGAGCATTTGTGTAGACATGGAAAACTATTACATGAGACTCTACAATATTCCGGTTCACGAACCGAGAAAATGAATTGATTAATAAAACACCAAATTATCTGGGAAAGAGTCTGGCACTTTTAGCGGCCTGATTCGCTCGTCGGGAAATCTGTTGTATTTCTTGTTCATGGTTCGTTATGATCGTTATGATTTGTCTCCAGACTCTATTCCTCCGATCAATGAAGTGCGTCGGATCAACCTTATTGGGAATTCAACTTTTTAATGGTCTTTCCCTTCTCTTCTGCAATTCGGTATTAGCCATTCAATCAAAGCGCTCTATACATCAACGGTCATGTCGTTGCTTCAATAACCCAAAACTTTTTAATAAAGTGAATGATTTTGGCTAATGATCGCATGCGTAGAGACGTACTAACATGTGCTTGCGCGCACCTCGTAGAAACGTTCGTATTAATCTATAATAGCGTCATTTGAACTGCCCAATTAGTTGTGCTATATTCATGTGGAGGAAGTCTGCCAATTACAGCAAAAACAAGACACGGTACGGATTGTCAGCTCTTCCAATCCAATCGGGAGAAAGAGATCGATAACGCTGCAGGCATCACATGGTAAAGATAAGGTGTCCCACAAGGCTTGCACTAAGCCTAGTGATGCTAAGAAAAAAGAATAAAAAAACATCTGCAAGACGTAAATGAGGCCTTGCAGAAGAGGAATCAAAAGTACTGAGTTCAAATGCTCCTTGCCGTGTTCGATCACACATTCAATCCCGAAAGAATCGGTCTAATGCGACGCCCGCACTTGCAATCAACAGAGTCCCGACTACATCAGATTCTTCATGCACTCCTGAGTACATGCATGATATGGAATTCACTATTCACGCTCTGGCATACGCGAATCTTCAATCTATGAACCAAAATTATCCACTTGGCTCTGTGCGCATATGCGCATGTTGATCAGCACACACGGAGCAGCCAAAACAAAGTCACAAGCACATAAGATACAAAACAATCCAGTGGCAGACTGAAACAGTACGCAGAAAGCTTGGCTGTGAATTTTTATCACAAACATAAAACCCGGGAATTCAATCCTACAGAACCTGCTAGAAAGTCCCCAGCAAATAATTTATTTCCACGTAAGAAGAGAGAAAAGGAAAAGAGGACAAAAAAAAGCCTAAGATGGAGGGACAAAATATGGACGGCAATTATATATATCGACAAACCTCTAGATTCCTTTCTACCTGATCATTAATAATCTCGGAATGTACTCCCACCAAGCCTCGGAATAATCCATAATTTAAAGAAAAAATTACTTGGATGCTTCTCCCTTCAGTCGGATATCCTCATCTCCACTCCAAGAATGTCCTTAACCGCTTCATATGTGACAAAGGCAATGGCTATCGATGGAACAACCTAGACATCATAGCAGGAAATGTTAACAGGATTCTTGTAGAGAAAATTGAACACGATTGGAAACAATAACTAAACATTTACTACAATCTAGCATTCATGTAAGTTTAATCAGCAAGATTTTACCGAGATTCGGAAGGTATTGTCCAAAGAGAATACTCAATAAATATGGAGACAAAAATTTTAACTAAAAGTGTCGCGGGTGTGTTCTTAAAAATGTCAACTCACCTTTACTGAATTGGGGACCAAACCCTTGTATAATGCTCCAAATCCCTCATGACGAACAGTCTTCCTAAATGCATCGACCATGCCAGTGTATTCGAGCGGCGCCTTACTCCTCCCTTCACCGATTACAACTGAAGAAGCATCTTTCCAGCCAACCATTTGCATTCTTCGCCTGATGACATCAAGAGGGTAAGCTACTGTCTGACCAACAGTCCCTGCAGCAGCACCGCATGCAAGCCTCGTCGTCACACTCAGCTCGTTGTCCTCAACCAGTCCAAATGCATTGGTTTTAAGTAACCAGTCTTTCAAGGATTCATACACAGCGAAGTTCAGACCTACATAAGGAACCTGAACATACCAAAAAGCAATTTCAATTCATAAGGTACAATCTCAGAAGTAAATAGCATAGCAGTATACAAGCATATTCATTTCCTGAGTTACTTATAAATGGATAGATGAATTTCATCACAAAGAAGATCATACTTACAACTCCTATTACAGAAGGAAGCCAGCCTCTGTACAATGCCCTAGGGCCTTCTTCCTTCAAGACAGTTGAAAGGGCGTGACAAATTCCTCTATACTGTCGAGGAGACTTCTCTGTCTAAAGATTTTTAAGCAGGAAGGTGAGTCCATTGATATCATAGAAAAGAAGAAATGCATTCTTAAATGAATCCAAGAATGCATCAATGAAATAAATTCGAAACCCTACCTGGACGGTCAGCCGACCTCGTACCATGTCCATTGGATATGTCGCAGACATGGCAATAATTCCAGCACATGCACCAGCTCCAAGGCGTAAAAGAGGTGTTAGCTGCGCATCCTCTGCGTAAAAATAAAAGAGTAGCAAGTCATCAGCATAAGAAATTCAGCTGAGAATCGTCACAAAAATGAAATAAGCAAATAGTGTTCAAACAAGATTCGGCAGACAAAGAAAGGGAGTTATAGACAACACTAATACAATAGCAAAGTCTTCACATTAAAACTCAAATAATCGGCAAATTGAAAACCAGTATGCAGCATAGTCACCATAAAAATGGCAAGTTTAGTTTAAGTATGGTAATCAACGGTCAGACCAGAATAGTCGTCCATCTATCTTAGGAGCATTAGTGTTTGTTCAGAATCAATCAGATCCATAAGTAAAGCATAATTGCATACTGCAAAACATATATTACTCATATAAAGAAGGAAGATCGTACCTTTCCCAGGTTGCTGCCGATAAAGCCACAAAATTCCGCTGTTTAAAAAAAACATATAGTGATATTCAAAGTATGAACAACTCTATTGGTCATTATGCAGAAGCATTCATAGTATTAACAACTCTATTGGTCATTATTCAGAAGCATGCACTTAAGAACCAATGCTTGCGCTTTTTCCTGAAGCTCAAATGTCTTACAGTATACTAAAATTGTATAAATATATGCTGCAACAAAATAAATGAATGTAGGACGGAACAATAATTATTTAGCATACTGAGATGCCTGCTCATAGCTGAAGAACTTGACGGCCGAATTGGGAACAATACGAGCACAATTAGTGCCATTGCCTTTGAACAATCCCCTGAAACCCTCAGTTCTCCATATATATTTTAGGCCTTGCATTGTTCCGTTGTATTTTATGCTATGAGGATTCTGAACCTGCATCCAGAGGCATATCCCACTTAAGACAAGCCAAAGCATGCAGAGGAGAGAGTAAGCATTAAAAGAATCCCACTTTTTAAGATGCAGATGAAAGAAACATCATCACTCCATTTCTCCCTCCCTCCCAGCCATCCCTGTTCATATGAATGCCGAGGCATCCGTGCACCTCAGCGAAGGTTTTTGTTGGGAAGTGTCAACTTAGAATCAAAAGGAAGATGCACCTACTATGTGACCTCCATGCACAGAAAACAAAAGTAGATAAAAGTACAAAAATAAGAAGTTGATCACCCAAAAGAGTACCTGCAGCAATATTTTTAATCTCTCCAATGGAGCAACAGCAGTACGTGACCTGAACAAGGATTATTAGAAGAATTAACACGAAAAATTGGAGAAAACTTTGTCATAAATAGTGTATACACGAACAAATGAGTCTATCAAAAAATGTCTTCATATGATCCCTCTATTTTACGGTGTAGGGTATTCTAACAATATTGCTAGTTAATTTATCCTCTATTTATGTTTATAACGATACTTATGTAACAAAAAACCAGTTTGATCCTATTTTCCTTATCTCCAGGAAATCCACCACGTGGAAGTAAGCACCATGACGCTCCGTCTCAAATTGGAGCTGTCTCAAGGTCTCCTGGTGATTGGCACAAATTTATTAAACTCAGAACAAGGACTCTTTAAGCCAAGCATGTGAAAACTACAAAAATCTCCTTCATGTCTCTAATGAAGTCCATGTGCTTTCCCCTTCATATAGAACTTGGAAAGAGTTCTCAAAGGAATGAAGAACAATGCTTCTCACAAACAGGAAAACTAAGTTGAACAGGCAAAGCTAACGACACTGTAAGAAAGCACAAGAAGTAATGGATAATGATGACATATGTCTAAATTCTGAAGTTATGAACCCCCCCAACCCACAAAGAGAAAAGCAAATCATGAGAGGTCAAGTAAAACCCAATAACATGATAGAAATGTAAAAAGAAAAGAAATGAACAGCGTCAATCAATCAATCAATCGAGCTTGACAGCACGGACACGGGAATTTTGTCATGTTACATTTCTCTTGTTTGGAAGATGTGCCAAACTGAAGCCAACTCTACATTTAATCTTTTATAAAGGATTGAGCCGAAAAACAAATTCCATTGTTTGCTGTTGTTATATATGCTTAGTCTCCCTTATCCTTTCCTCACCCAACTATTTGTCAGTTCACATTCTTTCCAGCTGAAGTAAGTTTAAGTTTGAGAAGTTAGTGGTTTTCATGGACGAGAAAAAATGCTATGCACCTTAAAAGAGATGCGGAGTTCTGAACAATTAGAATTCATTTAAAATTCCTACTGTACCAGAGGGCCAGAAACAATTAAGTGAAGGAACTACGAAACATCCAAGCGTCAAGCGGTGACCATTTACAGCCAAAATCCTAGAGCCACAATATCTTATTCACAAGTAAAGGTGTGCGTCTCAATTTGACACCAAATGAAACCCTAAACATACAGCCAAATCGCTATGAAAAAATCAAGGAAAACTGATATTAGGACATCGACGAATCATAACAGACAAAACGAACCAAACGAAACCGACGACATACACAACAAACAAGTAGAATTCAAGCCAGAGCAAAATAAACCGCGTCGTCTTGACTGGAATAACATTACTAATCCACCAGGGTTACGGCCGAAAAAAATCCATCAGCGACTCTGCCGTGGATCAAACTCATCAACTCAATCAGCCTAATTTGCATGAAAACCTAATTACAGCCGAGCAACTCGTCCCCTAACCAGAAATCAAACGTAAATCACGAAAAATGAATACTGCGGAGATATCAATGAACGCATAGGA